GGGAGCTGCTGCCGGGCGGCTTCATGGCTCATAGCTCCCGGGCGCCGCTCAGAGTGGCCGGCGAGAGCGCCGGGCTAGGCTGCGGGGCGGCTGCGGGCGGAGCCGGTCACGCCGGCTCGGCGCGCATGGTGCGGCGGCGGGCAGGGGGCAGGGGGCAAGGGGTTCGGGGCTCGGGGCTCGGGGCTCGGGCAGGGCGGCGCCCCCTCCCGGGCTCGCCTCTCAGCCCCTCCCGGGGCGGGCCGCAGAGGAGTCCGGGGGTCCTAGCCGCTCCGCCAACTTGGAGCCTCCCTTGGGGATGCTCCCTCCCCTCGGCGGGCGCGGTCGCTTCAGCGACTGCGGGGGCTGCCTCCGGGCCTAAGGATGCTGAGGCGGCGCGCGGGAGCGAGCGGCGCGGGGACGCGCGGCGCGGGCGTGCGCCCCGCCCCGAGAGCGCGCCTGAGCGGGGCTTCGGGCGCTGGTGCTGATGCTGCTGCTGCTGCTGCTGTAGCCTGGCACCGGACGCACTGCGCATGCCATATTGGGGTGCGGGGTGGGGAGGGGGGGCAGCCGTGATGCAGCATCCCAGGCACCAGCAGAAGTGGCAGTGGCACCTCCAAGATGGGGGCGGGGAAGGAGGGAGCCGGCATTCAGGGATGAAACCAGAGAAGAGAGAAGGGTGCGGGTGGGGGAATGGGGGAGTGGGGGGATGAGGGGGGGCTTCCAGTCCAGAGACAGGAATGGTCTGTAGGAAACAATCAGCCAAGAAAATGGACTTGCCTTTTCCACCACTCAGACCGCACATCCCCTCCTATTCCAACCCTTCTCTGATCGGGTAAACTAAGACCAAGCATATCCTTCTCGATCCTTTATTTATTTCCTTCCTACAAGTAAATATATAAAGGATTGCAGACGGGAAGGTAAAAATAGCTCTGCTCCTCCCTCATCAGCTGGCCGGCGGCGGGTGGCACCACCGCCGGGAAGCACGTTTGCGCTTAGCAGGCTGATGGGTGCCCTGGCACTGAGCCCCCGGAATCCCCAGCCCAGGGGTGCTCCTCTTGGCCGGGGTCCTCCCTGCCTGTGCCTTCGAGGGGGCTTTGAGGAAAACAGACGGAGCCAGAAGGTGTTTGCTCAAAAGTTCAGAAAGTATGTCTGGGTGTATTCAGGAAGAACTTAGAAATTCTGGCGGGGAAGAAATACGGAAATTAGAGTGTGTGGCAGCTATCTTGGGAAATGCGTTGTCAACCAAGGGGTGGGCATGCATTTAGGAGGACACATTTCTATTTTTGAGATCCAGTCCTGCCTTCTGCAGAGAAGAGAGATTTTCTCTCGCTACTGTATAAAACATAAACCCAGGGGTCCCTGACTTAGGTGGGTTAGCAGCCACTAAATCTATGGCTTCAAATTTTGGAGCTTAGGGCTTATTTCTGCCCCCAAACTCCCATAATGTCACCCTCCCAATGACAGTCTGAGTAATAACAATGGTGTTTTACTCTGTTATTTGTATTTTTTTTTTAAACAGAGTCTCACTTTGTTGCCCTCAGTGGAGTGATGTGGCATCATAGCTCACAGCAACCTCAGACTCTCTGGCTCAAGCCATCCTCTTGCCTCAGCCTCCCAAGTAGTTGGGACTACAGGCTCCCCCACCACAGTCCCTGGTTATTTTTCAGAGACAGGTTCTCACTCTTGCTCAGACTGGTCTCCAACTCATGAGCTCAAACAATCCACCCATCTAAGCCTCCCAGATTGCTGGGATTACAGCCGTGAGCCACTGCGCCTGGCCTAGTTATTTGTATTTTAAATGTAGATAATAGCATCTACTAGGGGGGCAGGGAATCAAGAATTTTATGCTTAAAAGAAAGAATATGGGCTGGAACAGAACCCACTTAACAAAAAGGAAGAGAGACAAAGACAGACAGAGACACATACACCCCTGAGGTTATATAGCTGTTAGGAGGTTAAATGCTGATTTTAGTTCTTCCTTTCTGTGTCAGAGCTAAGATATTAATATCAGATATTTTCTCGTGTAAACGTGTAATTGATGACACTTCCCCCCATGAAAGGAAGACAGTTTTCCCTTTTGTTCACCATTGTGCCCCTACAACCTAGCAGGCTTTGAGGCACAGAAAAATCTCTTGGAAAATATGTAATCAGGGAATAAATAAATGGGCAGTGCACATAAGCGGGAGTCACACTTGAGGCAACCTGGTGAACACTCCACTCTCCCTGGGGTTCCTGGTTAAAGGTCAGTGTTCCCAGGGGTGTCTCCTGCATGACAAGCAAGTCCTGGCTAGGTTTTTCTAATTTATATTTGATGTAATATAGATCCTGAAAGAGGTTCTGACAGAAATAAAGCCAGAAAGGAGTTATACAGGGAAGGGAGAAGGAAATGAAAGGTGAAAAATGCCCAGATACAACGTACTTGAAAAGCATCTCTTAGAACTGAGTGACAGCCCATCAAGTCTGTTTCAATAAATCAACCTACCAGCCACCCTGGACTGACTCAACGACCACCAGTTACAACCCACAATTTCATGCATTAAAGGGTACAGAATTCTAATAAGGAATGGGTATGTTTACAACGAGGGATGTTATCTTATGTACTATAATCAAAAGACGGCATTTATTTACAGAACTTTAATGTTTACAGACATTGCTAAAGTCAAGATAATATATTAGAAATGAGATAGTGAGGCAGAGAAAATCACCTAGGACAAATTCACTAGAAGTTCAGTACCTAAACAATATATTTAAGGGAAGGTTAAAAACAGAATCAAATACTCTTTACCTGGTCAATTTATTAGATTCGATAATAGTCATATTAGGTCATTTGGAATTTTTATTGTTAGAGAGTTTACTTCTAAATATTCCCCTCCATGCTTTTATAATCTTTACTGATTTTATTAATCACTTAACCACCTATTGCTTTGCTGTGCATTTATGTATGTGCATATCATCTTTCCCCTATCAAAAACTATCAGTCTAATCCAAACCCAGAGCCTAGTATGTACTTGGAGTAGAGGCAACATTGGATAATGTGTGTTGAGTAGAAGGGACTCCGAGGGAGGAAAGGGAGGGATTCAGCAAGCAAGAATCAAAAAAGAAATGCCCTGCGCCAGAATTCGAGGGCCATAACAGCCCTGGTTACAAATGCATGTTGCACCTCAAGGCCATCAGAGGTCCACTGAAGTGATCTGGTTAAAGTGGTAAACATGGAAAACTTCTATGGCCATAGGTGAAGGCAGGCAGCCAGAAGGTCTCTGGGAAGGAGATTACACCAGGTGAACACAATGAAAGGTAAAGGCAAGCAATGTCCAGAAAGGGTGATCGTAGGTTCACAAAAATGGTTCCGTTGGTCATGTGAGGGAGGACACCAGAGGCCTCTCCTCACACTGTCTCTGTCTCCTTTCTATTTCAGGTGGCAGAACTGGACCAACTTTGAAACCAATAAGAAAATTGAGCCTGGGCAGGAGCAGGCAAAGACAAAGAGTAGGAATATGAGATCTAGAAGGCATCTGCCTCAGTAGGGCTGAGATTCTGGGGTAAAGGAAAAGGAGGGGTCACAGAAGAGGGACCTAGAGAGAGAAAGAAGGTGAAAAAAAGAAAACTAGAAAGGAGATCCAGGCAGAACAGCAGACTCCTAAGAGCAATGAGAATGGAATCTTCATTTGGCCAAAAAGCCAGGGTCAAGGAAGGTGTGCAGCAAATTGGTGGCTGGTGGTGACAGACGGAGAGATCTAGAGAAGTGAAAGCCAGAGCACAGACCAGGGTGTGAACAGCAGCAGCTCTGGCTGAGGGCAGCTCCCACCAGAGAGCTCACTGGAGCAGCTTGTGTTGCAGAGTCTACTGGAGGAGATTCACAGCCTGGTTTAAGACCAGCTGTGAAGACTGATTCTGCAAGTGGAAATTGATACTTCGAAGAAGACAAGACAATGCATTTCTTAGTGAAAGTGAAAAATAAGTGAACTATTTTGTGGGTACCATTGTTGATACTTTCCATGGGTAGGGTGACCAGATTTTAACATTGGTAAAGTGGGACAACATGGCCAGGGGGCAGGGCGGGGGACAAGGCAGGGGCGGGGCAGGGGCAGGGCCTGACAACAATGCAAACTTTGATAAGCAGTTCTCGATAATCACTTTTCCACAATTATTTGTTACTATTACAGTTTAACATTATAAAATTAACAAAAATAATATAAAACTCATATTCTGGCGAAATAGCCACATGGCAGCCGAAAACCGTATATTCCCTTCCTGTTCTCCTGCCCGTTTGTGCATTTTTTCCAAAAATCGGGACTTTTTTAAAACGCCGCAGGACATATTGTTAAAAAGTGGGACTGTCCTGCCAAAAGCCGGACATCTAGTCACCCTATCCATGGGGCTCCGGGATCAGCAAACATTTTCTATAAAGGGCCAGATACTAATTATCTTAGGCGGTGGGCCACGTGGTCTCTGCTGCATATTCTTTTTTTTTTTTCATTATAACCCTTTAAAAATGTAAAAATCATACAGCCTGTAAGCCCTGGTCAGTCTACCATGTTTACATATAACATACACACAGTGTCCTAAAGCTCACCCAGAAAGTCATCACACAGAGAAAAATGGAAGATTGTAGCTAAATATACCTCTACTTACACAAAGTTCATTAGAAATTTTTTCAAAATATATACAAAATATTCTCTATGTGTTAGCCATCTTGTTGTAAAACTTTATAATGAATATTTTGTAAATAAATATTCATTACAAAATAAACATGTAGCTACATTGTA